GAGAGGATGATATTCCTCCCTATATTGCAGAGGGTGTACACCCGTCTTTGATACTGTTCGTAGTGTCTAGAGGGGGAGATGATATTACTTACAAAATCGTAAACATGCTGTGTGTCCACCGTGAATCCTAATATCCAGGGAGGGATATTACACCCCAAGTCGCGGGGGGTGTCCACCCCGCCTGTCACATTGTTTCTTATACCCAGGGAGGAGAGGATGATATCGCTACCAATATCGAAGAAGTGTACACGCCCCCTGTGATATGGTTCCTAATATCCACGTTGAGAGAGGATGATATTACTCTCAATATCACAGGGGTTGTCCATCCCACCTGTGGTCTTTTTCCTACTATCCAGAATAATAGAGAATGATATTACTCCCAATAGTGCAGGGGGTGTCCTCCCCGCCACGTGGTATTGTTCTAAGAGCTAAAGGAAGAGAAGATAATATTATTCTTTGTACTTCAGGGGGTGTACAACCAACTGCGATATTGTGAGGCACCCCTTGTGAAAACAAGAAAGACTGGAATTTGATGAGACTGCAGTACCACCTGGGCAGCTCTGCCTTCCCCACAGTCTCTCCAGCTCCCTTTTCTGTCCCGTGGGTGTAGGAGAACGGCTGTCCCCAGCAGGGTCCCACCCAGGGCTTCAGAGGACTTGATGGATTCACTCTTTCCTTCTGTTAGCAACACCAGGCACGGCTCTCTGCTGCGGATACTAATAAAATATTTTCTCTGTTTAATTTCTGAAAGGAATTTCTCGGAATTTCCTGAACCATTAGGAGGGTCCCCGCATAAGAGATCATTTAAGCTACAGGGAGATCAACTTACACGAATTTTCAAAAGAAACAACTAATCAGTTGCTTGCATTTTCTGTTGTACTGTTACTCAGATTCGTTGATGAAGGTCTACTATCAGTTTTTAAGGTAATTTATAGGGAAGAAAATCATTAATTAGATTAATTCATTCAGCTATGAAAGAATATAGTTTATTTTTCAAATGCAATTAACTATTAATCATCTTTTAGTATATCTGAGTTACAGTATCCTCCATCAGAAAAAAAAGTGATTAGATTACATGTAAGTTTATATTCTCTATCACAGATCAATCAATATTAATCTCAGCTAAAATAATAACTTGTTTCTTAAAAACACATTTGCTTTTGTATGTAACAGCAGCTGAGTATTGAAAAATGAAATAGCAAATTATAAAACAGGATTAACCAAATATTAGGAAATTTTCACAGATGTTTGCTACATCGATGGGGTAGGATATTTGCATCATCAATAAACCAATTCTTTTATTATTTCAAAGTAAATAATTTAGGTTAGAACATTTGTTCTTGACATTTTAATCTTTTTTTCAGATTATGCATGTGACAATTATTTTAAAAATTGTTTAAATGTTCAAACAAAATTACTAGAAATAGAAAAATTAATGTGAAAAGTAACAACCCTCAGGAATTCCATCTCCCAGAAATAACTACTGTTAATAATTAGGTAGTGTTGCTACCACATTTTTGCTGTGAGTGTACCAAAGTGAGTTCGTAGGAAGGTCCGTTGTGTTTTATAGCTAGCATTTTTCATTAACAGTGTTTTTGGCATCTTTGTTCTGCCTTATTCTTTTTGTCAGCTGTTTGATATTCCATTTTATCAATATGTTATTTTTTTTCCTAAGCAGTCCTTCATTGATGGATAACATATTGATAAAATGGAATATGTCCCTGATGTAGAAAATTCCTAATTATTATGCTGAAATGAACATCTTTGTTCATTTGGGCACTTATGTAAATACTCTTAAAAAGTAAAGTTCTAAGACAAAAGATATCAATAAAGGTTTTTAAAATTCTTTCATTTTATTTATTTATTTATTTTTTATGAGACAGGGTCTCACTCTGTCACCCAGGCTAGAGTAGAGTGGTGCAGTCATGGCTCATGGCAGCCTCGACCTCCTGGGCTCAAGCCATCCACTTACCTCAGCCTCTCGAGTAGCTGGGACCACAGGCGCGTGCCATCATATCCAGCCAAGACTATGTTTTTATTTTCATTTTTTAAATATTTACTAGGTGTTTATAATTATTTCATTAACTGCCTATTAATGTATTTTCTCCATTTATTTCAGTTTTATTTTTCCCACTGGTTCATTAGC